GGGCTGAGAGGGATACAACATCCCAGCAGACAGACCCGGGCTGAGAGGGATACAACATCCCAGCAGACAGACCCGGGCTGAGAAGGATGATATTCCAGAAGAAAGATCAATGAAATACTTGATAAAAGTTCTCCCTAATGACGTCTAATGTCTCAGTGGTAGTGGACGTCTAATGTCTCAGTGGACGTCTAATGTCTCAGTGGTAGTGGACACACAGTCTAGATCTGGCCCATTGTGACATATTTTGGACTCCGTGTCTTCAATAGTTTCTCATTTTCTAATTTTTCCTATTTCCCATTTCCTCCCATGTTACTTGAAAAACCTGCAAATCTGAGGAAAAAAAAAATTTTAAGCCATTTCTAAGCTTAAGTTTTACAAAATCACTCGGCCGCCCACAAGCTTAGATCTGTGTTTATCGATCATTTGCAAGCCTGGCGGTAAAGAAACACGCAAATTTGTCCCGTTTTCAGCGTCTTTTCTTCTTCAATATGAATCCACACAGCACTTGTGGTTAAAACTCCGTACAAATCTCCCCCCAAAAGTTTTACAATTGCAGTTACTCTAAATCTATTATTTCGACTCCATATATTGGTGAAATATTCGGTTGAAATTCCAATTCTAAATATTGAAAGAAAGAAGAAAATGTAGGTACCATTTGTAAAAGAATTTAAACAATGTTTTTCTCTCCTGAAAACTGTTGCTGTCTGGGTGTAGAAGAGTTGAAGAACAGAGTTCTGACCACAATGGCTTCCTCTTCCTTCTCCATAGAGAGAAAAAATATAGTTTTGTTTTTGTAATTTGCAGGTGGTGATTTACCTGAAGCGGAACACGTTCTACTATCTGTTCAACATCATCGTGCCGTGCGTCATGCTGTCTGTGCTCACTCTTATGACCTTCTGGCTACCTCCAACCTCCGGGGAAAAGGTCACGCTGGGACTGTCCGTGTTTCTGGCCTTCTCCATGTTCATGTTGCTCATAGCGGAGGAAGTGCCGGCGTCGTCGGACGCAGTGCCGCTTATAGGTACATGTTGGGTGGGGTTGTGTGTGTGTGTGTCTGTGTGTGTGTGTGTGTGTGTGTGTGTC